GGGGGGGGGGGGAAGAAGGGGGCGTGGGAAGAGGGAAGAAGATGTGGAGATTTGAAAGAGCAGGAGAGTAGGAAGACGATGAGATGGTGCCAGTACCAGCCAGAAAGAGAGAGCGCGAAAGCAAGCGCGCGAGGGAGGGAGGGATGCGATGGGGTTGGTCTGGAAGGACTGGATAATTGGAGAAAATGAGAATTGAATCTCGGTCTTTGGGTCTAGTCTCCTTGTGAGGGGAGAGAGGAGGGAAGGAAGGGAAAAGGAAAGGATAGGGAAAGGGAACAGGAAGAAGAAATTGGAGAAAGCGCTTTTCCCTCTTCTTTTGGGATGAAGAAACAACTTCAGATATTCTTTCTCTCTCTTTTGATTCCGTCAAAATTCTTTTCCCAACTTTTGTTGTCGTCGTTTTCCACCTTTCTTTTAATCTCCTTCTCCTTCTGCTGCTGTCGTCGTCGTCTCCCTTTGGGGCCCTTCACCAACTAGCGTGCTGTGGGTTTTTTTTCAATTGGGGCGAGGCCGGCAGCGACGATTCGTCGTTTGACCCCCTGGAAAGGCGTCCGGAACCAGGGACTGGGCCACCTCATTAATTACTCTTCGCAGTCACTTTAGATTGCCTCGCAATGTACCGGCGGTTACACATTCAACGCTAACTCAATCTCCCCCCTCAAATGACTAGCTTATTTTTAGTTAGTTATCTTTCTTTCTATGTAGGACTTTCTCGAATCCTCTTGAGGAATTCTTCCTCTCTAGTCGCTCTGTATGGTTTACTTGGATTTCCCTGCTTTAAACCAGAGGGAGTTTATCATGCATCACATAATACTCAACTCACCACTACCTAAAATGTCCGTTCCTGCAGACACCACTTCTTAACATTCCTTACCCGCCACCAACTTCCATCTCGGTGGCAATCCTTATCCAGTTGCGGCGGTACGCGTGTGATATCACACCTTTTCTTGAAAATCTTCCTGGATAGGGCTAAGAAACCATGACTGCAGTGGCTGACTTTGTCTACAGCCCCTCCCGCAGACGGTCGGGGCCTTCTTTATGTTGAATTCAAGGCCTGCGGAAAGGCAGTGAGTTAATGGTCAATGATTTGAGTCAGGCGAGCCACAGTTGCGGAACACTAAAACCATACTACCCTAGAAGAAGCATTCGGTGTTAATATTCCCAAATCGAAATGGACAAAACTTTGAAATCTAAATGGTAGACATGAGTCGGTTTCATGTAGGGACTTTTTCCCTTTATCGAACCGGAGTATCTATGCCAATCATCCTGATCCTTGCTCCTCCTAGCTTCCAATTATACTAAGTATTACCAAGGGAATTAAACAGCCCATAAAGGACCCTGTAAACTCTGTGTGGCAGTAAAGCCAGATATACGCCGGGTACCTGAATGTGACTAGTGTTATGTAGGTAGGTGAGAAGTACCACTGCGTATACCGCAGTAAGTATATCCATATGACCTATATTTATCTCGGCATGTAATTCATTGCATAGATAAACCCTTTCTTATCCCTAAGACATTAGGATTAATATCTTAAAACCTTTTCCAGGCTGGGTCCTCAACCTCGATACCCTATATCCCAGAGACCTACGATGTAGACTACTGGAATAATTCGCCAATTGGGGAACCCATTCATGCAACACAGGACACCCACCCCCTTTCATCATACGGGGAAAGTTGAACCCCACGAACACCTAGAACTCGATTAGCACGAGGAGTTATAGTCGCTTGTCGGAAGGACCAGCAATCCCGTTCATTGGACATGTATCAGATAGAAGTAGTAGAGCATCTAAACCAGTGGATCATGCATTCAAGATCTGTCTCAGATACGTACTTGTTCATGTAGCTACCTAGCCATCATTACGAATACCAGGCATTACGTGCATACTTGACTATGCATGTAATAAAGTACTGCTGTGCCTCTGACTGGGGGTAGAAGAAGTGGTCAGGAAACAAACAACCATTAATATCCCAATCCCCTGGGAATTACCCCATCAAGCACCCACCACGCAATACCCTTTCTTGCCCCTGTCCGCTATCACGGGGGTTTTTCTTATGTCTCTTCACTGTGATGGTGGGATTGCAGTGGAGGCAGACTTTCTCTAGTAGCGAAATTTGCAATACCGGAAGTGGAGCCCAGAACAGCAAAGAGTGGATTGACGCTTTCGGGAACTCCCCATTCGCCGTTGAGGTTGGGCTTGCCGCCCCGGGCGGCTTCCATTCGGGTTCTGGACTCCGGATTCGGGCCTCCTTATCCATCCATGTTTTTCCCTACCTGCTCCGTGGAGATGTCAAGTAAGGATCCAGGACCTAATAGCGGGAGACAGTTGCTAATTTGGGTATTCGGGGGGTTTCGCTAGTTAGTAGACGTCGGACTACTAATTGGAGATGACTAGACTGTATCTTGATATGGTCGCTACAGTGTCCCTGAGACATATAGTAGCTGTCGCTTGGCAGAGATACTAGAATTATGATCACCACCATTACTATTACTATTACCATTCGCCAAATTCTGGCCATTTGGTCTGCATAAATTACAGTATAGGAAGTGGAGAAGTGTAAATGGAGTAAATGATAGCATCCGGCTGAACGAAGGTATAATTGGGATAGCCGTTGATGTGGATTTGTGTCGACAATGGACAAACCCACCGTGAAGACCAGGGGCTTCGAAACGAATGTAGGTACATGACACATAGGAATAAGAAAGGATAGGAAGAGAAACGAAAGGCCTTCATGATACATGTCAGGAAACAACCAGTCCTGGATTGGCCTTAATAACTCTCGTCCAGCAGACGAGAGAGCCGAACCCAAAAAAGAGTAGAAAAGTTATCGTTCATCGCCTTAGGCGAAACCTGGAACCGAACCCACAAAGGACAAGTATTGATAGAAAGAGACATGATAAAGATGAAACAGAAAGAATGGATAAACATGAAGCAAGCCAAGCAAGACAAGCAAGAAAAAAATGTCAGATTGTAACAACATTAACGAGTGTCATCACGGATATCCGTAGACGTTAAGAAACCTCGCCCAAACCAACAGTCCCATAAAGAGCACTCCAAAGGCAACCGGACTCCGGGGTTCAATGCAAATAGAGGTTCGAAGACATACTGGGGGAAAAGATAACCCCCCTTCAATCGCCAGGATAGCCGCTACCAACATGAAACCGCGGAGAACAACAGAACAGGACCCCTGAGAAGGACATAGATGATACTTCGTCAGGAAAACATAACTTAGGACATAAAGCACAAGATGATTAGGATGTGAACGTAAGTTGCGGTAGCCCAATAAAAATGAGAACCATGCTTCACATGGCCAGTGGGATCCAGCTAGTGTCCCCAGCACTGTTCGTCAAGACTGTGCCCTTTGTGATAAATTGATATCGTGAAATGAACGGATGAAATAAGAAATAAGAGAAAGGAAGGCATAACGAGACACCAAAGACAGTCGAGTCAGGCGAAGGAGCTTTGCATGCCGTTGGCTGGCATGGTAGGGTTCACATCAAGCTTCAAGATCCTTCGCAGATCATCTTCTATCTTCTTCGTGTCATAAGGCTGCGCGTTGTTGCTCACTGACACGCTCCGTGAGACAGGAGATTGGTGCTGCGGAGGAGAATAATAGGTAGGATATTGTGCATACTTAGGAGGAGATTTGGGCTGGTCGTACGCGGCTGGAGGGTAGAAAGCTTGGCCATGAACGCTCGGCATATTTTCGACTTTCGAAGTAAGAACTTCTTTCCTCAACGGAGAGTTTTGCAAGTGGTACTGCTGAGCAGCATTCGAGTGCGTATAGGATGAGGAATAGTGCCGACCATTTCCGACGAATGTTTGTTTCTGATCATATGACATGCCATGCGAGATAGAAGCGGGGGGTCCAGAAGTCGTTCTCACTGGCGTTGCAAAGTGAGGTACGCCGGGATTTGAAGCAGGCCGCTCCATCACTGGGTTGCTGTGATCTTGAGCCGTGATAGATGCGGACGAGGGTCTCTGGGGGCGAGGGTTGAGCAACAAAGTTTTCAAAGCTTCGGTTTTAGCTCTCTTCTCCTGTTCATCGAAATCACATACCGGAGGAGAAGGTGAGCTGGCCGATCGTAACGCGTTCATACGGTCCTTGTAAGAGGTCGCAAAGGAAGGCCCAATTTGCGAATGCTGGAACTCCGGGCTTTCCATCTCCAACCGGAAGAGCCCATTAGCAGTGCCATTGGGCCTACGGTGTTGAAGGGTCTTAGAATCAGTCTGTGGCGACCGGACCCGACTGCTTGCTTCGGGGCTTCGCTGCTGTTGCTGCTGGGGGTTCCTGGCCTCGACTGCAGCTCTGAAGAGAAAATCCAAGGGTGTTGACTGACGCTCTTCCTCCTGAAACTGTGGGCGCGACTTCGGCTTTGAGGGGGTGTTCTCCAGATCCGGCTCAGCATCGAGATGATCACCGTCGGACTCTAAGGCCGGTGCAAGATCCGACTCTGGTAGAGACTTGGAGAAGAAACTGGGGATAGGTAGTGCCGACGGTGCTGGAGATGCATGGAAAGTCGGGCCGGCGTAATGAGGGCTGTCTTTTACTTGCGGGGTGGCGATGGTATTATTAGGTTGAGAAGTAGTATGACGGTGCCCATTAGGCGCTGGGGATGCTTTGGATGCGTCGCGCGGCTTCTTGCCGGACCGACTGTGCTTCTTCTTGGAGGCGTTGATATTAATCGAGGAATCGGTGGCGGTCCCGCCAGGACTGGAGTTCCTTGGCGGCGACGAGGGAGGGGTTGCCAGTATGGCGACTTTCTGAGTAGAGGGTGTCAAGGTCCTCTTCGAATTGCGTCGATTGTTTCGCGACCCCTTTGGCGTCGGAGGGTTGGGCAATTGAGTTGACATGATGGTCAGATAGGCTTAAGAAATAGGCAGCCTTGTGAAGAGAAACCGAAAACGACTGGCGGCGGCGGCGGCAGCAGCAGCAGCACCAGAAAACAAAAACAATAGCGATAAGAAGCGACTCGAACGATAGTCACGAGTCGGCGGTGGTACGAAGCACTGTCCAGCAGCCCGTACTCGATGATTCAACGCTGGATAGAACTATCAGGAGACAAGGACAAGAGAGAGACCGTTGCTAGGTGCTGGGCACTGAGTGTGTGGCCCGACGAGTTGGTCTTTGATTGATCGGAAAGACGTCAGATGGAGGGAACAAGTCGGAGAGTGAAATCGTCTATTATTAGAGTCGAAGGAAGCGCAAAGGAAGCAGTAAGCCAAGACTCCTAGGCATGCTCACGTCTAGATAGGCGAATAAAGGCAGCAAGTAAAGGAAAGCTGAGGTACATCGTAGGTCTTGACCGAGGCTTTGGGGGGAAAGGTTGAAGTGAGAGAGTAGCGACTGGACTTTGGGAAGGGCGGGCGAAACCTAAGAATGGCTGGGGGACGAACCAAGCGGGGATCATCGGCGATGACTCAGCCACTTGGTACAAGTCACAAGTTCAGTCACGAAAAGCAGTAGTAACAAAGGTAGTAGTAGAGTTCTTACGCCACTGCCAGGCCAGCCTTGCAAACAGAACAAAACCAAATCCCTTTCAGCTGCTGTTTATCTCGCTTCATACCCCAGGCCATCATTCTCCCCAACAAGGTACTCGACTTCAAACGAAATAAAAGACAAAAGAGTCATATCTCTTGCTCATTTCGCATCAGCTTTCCTTTGGTAGAAACTCCCTACTACGTCAGTGTTCCTCGGGTAAGCCAAATGCCCCTCTCGATCTACGGCCGCCAGAGTATTGCCGGTGGGCTCACACCGCAATCATCCCCCGGGTTATCAGCTAACTAACCACAACTACTACCAATAGTACCTAGGTCAGGCACCACCACTTTCCGAGCAACCTACGTAATTAATCTATCTGCGTGCCCCTCCTCCGAACCCTGCTCAGCTCGTTACCTGTCCCGACCTGTGACCGGTTTTTTCGACAGACTAAGCGCCGTCAAAGCGTTAAGGCTCGCAACATGGCGGATGTGGAAATGAAAGAAGCCGGCTCCGCCGCCGTTAAAGCGAAGGGCTCATCGAAAGCTTCCGAAGGTGCCAGTGACGGCAAGAAGAAGTTTGAGGTTAAGAAGGTATAGCACCAGAGACGTGGGCTTTCTCTCCGAGTACCGTTGAAGCTAATTGGGTTGCTCCTCCAGTGGAACGCGGTCGCCCTGTGGGCGTGGGATATCGTCGTCGACAACTGCGCAATTTGCCGTAATCACATCATGGATCTCTGTACGTCTCGGATCCTTCATGCCTTCCTGCAATACAGCGTCTAATGTCTAACCGTTGCTAGGTATCGAGTGCCAAGCCAACCAAGGTTCGTCTACGACTGAGGAGTGTACAGTCGCTTGGGGTATCTGCAACGTAAGTTCACTCTTCCAGACACTCATTCTGCACCCCACACTAACGCCGACCTTTCTCGACCCCTAGCATGCGTTCCACTTCCACTGCATCTCGCGATGGCTGAAAACCCGTCAAGTTTGTCCCCTCGACAATAGGGACTGGGAGTTCCAGAAGTACGGCCGGTAAACGCGTGTCCGAAGATCGCAGGGTTCGAATACGGGCGGATCACCTCCTATGTCTTACAATATCCCGTACAAGGTAGAACCGGAAGGGAGGGCTTTCTACGGCGTTTGTGGTTCATTTCGCAGTTCTCAGCAGCGGCTTTCAAAATTATTGATGCAGGTTTTGTTTGTGCACACGCAAGCGGACAAGTTGTGATTGATTCAGGATATAAATTAGACATGTCCAAAGTCCGCGACTTTTGTCTCACGCAACCTTAACTCCATCTACCATGATGCCTGCACCACCTCCCACGCCCGCCGTCAAGGGAACAAGCCATTTCTCGGGATTCTTATTGTACATAGGCCAAGGCGGAATGACGGCCAACCCAGTTATTAACGTGCCGGCCAATCCGACCCAAAGTGTGAGATGAATATCCTGGAAGATGTATCCAACAATGAAAGCAACGGCCTTAACAAAGCGACAATAGTAAGCAACCGGACCAGAAGACAACAACACCAACATCACCGTAGAATAATATGAGAGGAACTTACACCCGACAGAACAAGAAGCACTGTGCTAAGAAGCTCTGCAATGCGCTGGCCTTGGAAGTCCTATTGATGGAAACGTTAATCATTCACTCGGCATAGGTAGATAGAAGTAAACGCATAGGTGGCTGTAATAACGATCACCCAAACAGCGGGCGCAGAGGAAACCCAAGAACTCACGATTTGACCTTCCAAAGCATCTTGAATCGGTGCAAGTAGACTTTCCATTGTGAATGTTTTTATTGAATCGCGATGCGGCTCTTTCTCAGATCGATATTGACGGTCGCTGGTCGAAGGGGCACCCTTTACTTCGTTGCCGGCGATGAGGTTAGCTTGAGGTGGTCGCATGTCCACCGCCTCAGCTTATCGCGGGTCAATCGGACGCCGTACTGTTACACAGACGGTAATATTCGTATTGAGGCATGTCTCGGGCATGACGTATCATGCTCCAGGCAGCTAATCACTCATCATCGATCGCTTGAACATCGTCTTTAGGTTCTTTGTTTTCTATATCCTTCTTGGGACGTGGAGAGAAAGTCCATTGATAAATGTAGCCGGTTGGTATATCTTCTAGCAATGCATCTGTAAAAGCTCTCTTCCTGTCAGGTGCTCTAGTGTTCTCAAATCTACAAGAGTACACAAAGTGCCTTGGCAATCCTGAAGTTGCTGGGAAACTGTTTATTCGATGTCATTTCAAGAACTGAAGTCTAGGCGACAGTGTAGGAAGAAATTGTGGGCATGTATATCATGAATGTGAGTAATAAGAAGAGTCACTTTCGTTATGCCCACTGTTCATAGAGCCCTTTCCCAAGCTCTAACCGTCTATGAAAGCATATACACCAATCATGGCGGTCATGTCTATCACTGCCTCTCCGATCATGACTTTTTCTGCGTGAGAGTTGGATTCGACTTCTGGAAATCGCTATCAAATTCTCAGTATTGGACAGTGGTGCCGTCTTGGGCAGGCTCAAGCAACTTCCACTGGCAGGCGATGCCATTGGTAGCAAAGCGAGAGATAATGCGGTCAGCAATTTCTTCGAACCTATCCGTTGCCAAGGCAAGGATGGTCGGACCGGCACCTGACAGACAGATTCCAAGCAGACCGGGCTGCGTACGTGGGTTCATTGATTGAAGAATTTCCGTCAAGCCGGGGATAAGAGTCTGTCTGTATGGTTGGTGGACCTTATCTTGCATGGCCAGATAGATCATGTCTGGGTCCGGCGGAGAGCTGCCCAAAGCTGCTGGGAGCAAGGCAGCGCGCTGGAGGTTGAAGACCTAAACCAAGTAATAGCATTAGCCGATGCAGCTCACTGCTATCGGTACGGATTTGGCAACGGAGGGAGCAAAACTTACAACATCCGCTCTGGTATACGAGGTAGGAAGAACATTCCGGGCGTTGGCGGTCGGCACGACAAAGTCGGGGATGATGGCAATAGCCTTGATTTCTTTGGCCCACTGGAACTTTCTGTAATGGCCGATGCCAATGGGCGGCTCAGGAGGCCTCTTGCCGGTGTCAATGCCACCAGCCGGAGAAGGAAGAACTTCACTGAGAGGAATCTCCTTGCGCGCAACATCTTCGGGAGCGAGTTCGTTGAGGTAGGTGCCAACGAAGCCTCCGAAGAGCGAGGCAGCGACATTGTCGGGGTGTCGTTCTGTTGAGCGGATGAGCGATGGCCAGCAAACGAGGAGGTATCATTCATTATCAATCGCATGCAGCATGCTTGAAACACCTCCCTCCAAAAAGAAGATGGATGTGCGACTTACCGATCATCAAACAATAATCCAAGAGACGATCCTTGCTGAGTCCAAGCTTACCTACCTCATTTCCCAGCATTACACCAGCCACAACGGCAGTGCCAGAAGAACCGAGACCCCGACTAAGGGGGATCGGGTTTACAATGTGCACATGGGTCTCAGCAGGGAATGCCCGTTGGCTATGGCATCTAAGTACGTAAAGTGCTACGCGGGTGATCAAGTTGACCTCGGGGTCCAGACTGATCTTCTCGGAACTGTTGCTCAGGTCGTCATATGTGATGCGACAGTTAAGTGGTTGTTGCGATGACTTGGAGGTATCAATTGTGACGTGGAGCTCCAAGTGCATGGACAATGCCAGGCCGATCACGTCGAACCCAGGTCCGATGTTGGCGGAAGAGCAGGGCGTCCTGATAACAAAAGAGGTCGCAGCCATTGTGGGGGAAGGAGGACGAAGGAGGGATCAGGAAAAAAAAAGAAACAAAAGTGAACTGAAGCGGGATGAAGCCTCCAGTGACTTGCTAGGTCTGGTACGTAGTATGGATGGCAAGTGCACTTTCGTTGCCAGTCACCAGCGTAGTAGTGATAGATAGACTTGAGTCACTACAATAATAATTATTATCGCACTCGGCTCCGACTAAGGTTGTGACTCTTTCTTTTCTTGGCGCTCTTCGGTGGTCAAAAAAGGTAATGAAAAAGGGTTTCCAAAAAATAGCAGGCAAAAAAAAAGGCCGACGTCGGGGAAGCAGAAAGCGGGCAAGTGAGGGGCCACAGGGCTTGCTAGATCCAGGTGCCACAAAGCCAAGTTCGAAGATTATTCCCCAAATTCTCCTATCACCATTGTTTGTCACATGGTTATCAATACCTACTACTACTTAGTTACAGAAAGCAGTTCCTTGACCCATCCATAGTTACGCTGGCAAATAATCAATGCATATTTCTTTGGGAGTCATGCGATCGCTTTATTAGTACCTACTCAGTAAGCTCCTCCTGATTGGGTCTCGGTCTGACCTGAAGATTTGTGCGTATTGTTACAAACAAAAATAACCTCAGCCGCAAACGCTTCCTCCTCTCTCCTTCAAGTACAATACACTTTTCCGACGAGCCTAAAAAGATGGAGGTCTCCCCTTACTGATTGTCCTACGATAGCCGAACAGGCTAATTATGATTTGGTGGAAAGGGTGTGACAATGACATACATATCATATCATAAAAGTTTTCATGCATGCCCCTGTGGGGATTCGGAAGGATGATGTGTTTCGAGAATGAGCCAGATCTACTTTGATCCTTTCTGCCCTGTTTCGTCCACTCGTGTGTGGAATAGGATACACAGGGCTGGAATTGCAGTGCGACTCAGCTACGATCAACTTGGCCTTCATTGGGCAGCAGAGGAGGACCTTCTCCCCCTAAGTCAGGCTCCATGTGGCAAGGTAATATTACCAGTCATTACGCCACTTAGGAGATGGAGATGGAGACTTTGTAGGAGGAAGCAAGACATACTTACTTGGTACAAAGTAGTAAGTACTTAGCGTCCTATGACAGTTACCACGGAAGCAATTAGACGAGATGGATGGGTTGTTTAGATTGCTGCCTAGAAAGGTCTTATTCGCGCAATTCCGTTTGAGAACCTTGGGTGATAGAGTGAAGTAAGTGGTTTGATTTTTGGTTAGGATACTAGCAAATGAGACATACTAGTATTGGACGAGGTGGGTAGATCACACGGATCTGTCCTGTCCACGGCAACCATTGGATCTGGAACGTGCAGGTTTGCCAGCCAAAAGAGATATAAATAATTCTTTCACGGGAAAGTTTTTGACAGGTGCCCAGTATTGTAATTAAATTTCAGGCTTGCAGCTTGAATGAATGGATAGATACGATCCCACACAAGCATGATCCACAAAGCAGGATCATTCTAGGAGATTCCTGTTTCTTCAAAGAGGTCAAGCAATGTTTTGAATAATCATAAATTGACCATGGCCGTAGGAGTGACTGCTTACTGGATTGCTGCAGAACAGCTGATGATGGCCATGGACTCGGAAGCATCCAGATTTCAAGACTACTAAAAGCCACCGGCGTGATTGGACGACGACGGGACTAAACCGGCCTCGGGGCCTTTGCCGACGCGGCGTCTTCAACTAAAAATTTCAGACTCCTCAGCCCGTTTTTCACCCTTGATGCGGAAATTTCTGCCCGCCCCTCGTATTTTATATAATACTAGAATTGCTCCTCCACTCGGCTGCCTTGATTCTCGGTTCTCTTCTGTCCCCTTGAGACATCTCCCTCACATCACCTCCTTGGTGACATCTTTTGAAATCCATTGCTCTTAATTTTATTTATATCTTACATCTTGCATCGTGCTTCTCCAAGTGTTTCGGCTGTCTTTGATTCGCCGTTGCCCTTTTCCCGTCCTCGTGGTTAGACGCATCGTCTTTGACCACGGGGTCTTTTTTTCCGAGTGTGGTGCGTACTACATCATACTCTCTAAAAAAAATAGGGTCCCCCATTTCACTTTTGCGACTCTTTTTTCTACCAGTCGCCTCCCACCCTCTTCCTTTTGAGTGTGCCGACGATCGTCACCACTCACGTTGAAACACATTAAGTGCACTTCTCAATCCAACACTTCATTCAAGTCAAACCGAATCTTGTCTTCGATCTCCTGCAGCCCGATTGGTCCGTCCTATTGTCCGCTGTCCAGCAGCTCTTCTCGATTTCGTTAAACCCAGCTTGGGCGTCAATCCTGCCGGTCGAATCTTGCGCTGAACCGCGAGAACTCTGTTAAGGGGTTCTCTCTGTCATCGCACTTTTCTCCCGCACCTTTCGGAGCGACGGCGCTCCTTACGCTTCACTCAGTCAAGTTGGCGGGCCTTCGCTGCAACCAGTCTTCCCTTCTCCACCCTCTTCTGGGCCCCAAGTTCAGGGTCTTCTGCGGGGGCGACACCAGACCCCCCTAATAGAGCTTATTCAAGCAGTCTCAAAGCTGGCACACGGACGCGCATCGGTAATGCCAGGCCCTTGCGAGGGGTCTGGCTAATGGATGGAGGAGCAATCGCCCTGGGACCTTTCTCATCCAGTCTACAACTTCCGACGTCGCGCCCTCGAACGCCGCCGCGCATATAATCACTTCAAAAAACCATAAGTCAACAATATTGGCTCCCCGCCAGCAAATTTGTTTCGTCAACTCTCTTATAAATACCCACGCGAGGAAGAATAAAAAAAGAACACCGACATAGCCACAATGTCCGAGTCACCGAAGTCCGAGAAATACATGTGCCTGACCAGGTTCAGCACCCCGGTCCCCGAATTGGATGATCATCGATTTCAATTAGATGCGCCACGCCTGGAAGCCACCCCCGATGTACCGCTGAGTCGGCAAAATACCGTCCCGCAGGCTTTCAACCCCGAGACGCCCCAGCGCCCAGACTTGCTTAACATCGAGGATGCGCTTCGGGAAGCTGGGTCTCTATCGCGTGATTTCGAAACCGCGGTAGTGGACGATGATCGATCAGACAAGGATTTCAATGCTATGGGACGTCGCTTTTCAGTTGATCCCACGGGGAACATCCGCCACGGCCGTACCTATAGTCGCACGCATCAGGATATTGCGAACTTGTCGCGCGAGTCGTCTGTGTCTGCTCGGTCGACGTCTCCACCCAACTCGGTTGAAGCATTCGCAGACCCGCGTCGCCGGGAGCGTGCGAATACCTTGGAAAGCCATGCTGCTCCAGATTTGGAAGCCATTCTCCAGCGCACGGTATCTGGTGGCACACATCCTCGTCGCCCGACCTTCAGCAACGCGAGTGTGGTTAGGCCGCAGCCTGGAGATTTAACTTTGGAGCCAACCGATGATGGCTGTCTGCCGACGTTTGAACAGCCTGGCAGGATTCCAGTGATCGACTACGAGGAACTGGAGGAGTTCGTTGCTCTCAACCAAAAGGCGAAACCTTCCGCAAACCGGCGCAAGCACAGCGTCAGCTCGCAAAGCCAGAAGCCGCGGGTGTTCTATGACCTTCGTCCAGGTGCTCAGAAGTCCGAGAAGGACGTGGAGAAGCGTTCGTCGAGCATTGAGCGTTCGTCAGAAGACATTTTGGAGTCCACTTTGGAGAAGGATGACAAGAAGGATTTTTCTGAAGTTGTCAACGAAAAAGAACTGTTGGCGACCCTAAAAAACGCGAATGAGCCTACGCGCTTCGGATTCTTCTCGTCGGAGGCACAGAGTACCGTGCATGCTGCCGAGCTGGGTGACCTGGTTTTGCCGGGAGACACTTTCCGAGATCTATTCCAATTGGGCCCGGACGGAGGTGTCTGGTGGCTTGATGTCTTGAACCCCACTGAGGATGAGGTGGGCGCTCTGTCCAGAGCTTTCTCTATCCATCCTTTGACAACAGAGGATATCTTGACTCAGGAAGCGCGCGAGAAAGTCGAGCTCTTCAAGCAGTATTACTTTGTCTGTTTCCGGACATTCTACCAGGTGGACAAGGCGGACGAGCGTTTCATGGAGCCAGTCAATTTCTATATGGTCGTTTTCCGTGATGGGGTGCTTTCGTTCTCTTTCACCGACAACCCTCACGCCGCTAACGTCCGGAGGAGAATTGGAAAGCTCCGTGACTATGTATCGCTGAGTAGTGACTGGATCTGTTATGCCATGATGTAAGTTTGTACAAGCACTTTGAGATGATGAGTGTTTCGCTTGGACCAGTCTTGCTAATTCCCATATAGCGACGATATCGTTGATAGTTTTGGGCCCGTCATTCGGGAAATTGAGGTCGAGTCCGAGGCCATTGAGGATCTCGTGTTCATTGCGCGTATGGATGACTTCGAGTCATTCTTGCCGCGCATCGGTGGCCTGCGCAAGAAAGTCATGAGTCTGATGCGTCTGCTAGGAGGCAAGGCGGATGTTATCCGGGGCTTCTCCAAGCGCTGCAACGAGCAGTACTCGGTGACGCCGCGTGGCGATATCGGTCTCTACCTGGGTGACATTCAGGATCACGTCGTAACCATGATGTCCAACCTGGCGCACTTTGAGAAGATGCTTAGCCGCTCGCATACCAACTATCTTGCGCAGCTGAACGTGACTAATTTGATGCTGGGCAATCACGTCAACAAAGTTCTGAGCAAGGTGACGCTCATTGCTACCATGCTGGTCCCCATGAACCTGATCTGCGGTCTCTTCGGAATGAACGTTCGCGTCCCTGGGCAAGATGCGGCAGGACTTGGCTGGTTCTTTGGGATTCTTGGGGTCATCGCAGCTATTGTCATTCTCAGTGGAGTGGTGGCTCGCTGCTACAAGCTTGTATAAGCTTAGCAGGGTGAGCCGTTGGGGGTGTTGTCGATATGATCATGCACGTAAATAGCCGATAGACATGAATCGTCATCTTGTTTGTAGTAGTGAATGATATGCATGAAGGACATTTTTTCCCCCTAAGCCACGAAGCATACCGTAGAATTTAAGGAGGTAGAAATGGATGCACGTAATTGCTAGTATGCTGAGGCTCTCGGAGGAAGTGAGTGGCGGCGCCAAGATAAGCTGCGATTCGGAGCCTCCAGGCAACCGGCAAATCCACGCCTTATGAGAGTCCAGACTCTTTCATCTCCAGCCAGCATGACCTCAGGCCCATCTCCCCTATTTTCAGCAGCCAAGCGACTGGGATTTTCAACTCCAGGTTGAACGGACTCACGTCACACGGGGCGAATGCTGTTTGAGTTCATGGGGTAGCCCCCGATCGCATCTTCATCCTCGTTGGTACCTGCTTTTCCCCTCACAGTTCGGCTGGCCTCCGCCGTGAGAGGAAGTTGTTACGTTCCGGCACCAAACAGCTCATGGATATCGATTGATGGATGACCTTCCTTTCGCAATCCACCCTCCTTCAACCATTCTGAATGTTCGTTCGGCTTATACCGCCACGCCTACAGTGCCGCCGGCGTGCGACTGTCCGCGCGGTACTCGGATGCGCAACTGCCTTGGCCATCTGCGTTGGTAGAGTGGCTGCGACTGCTGGTGAGAATGACCCAGATACCCCATCGCTGGCCTCCAGAAGTCATGGCCACTTCCTCTTCGGCGAAGCTAGTCCGGAATTCAGTTTCCCACTCGCAGAATACAACGGTTTGGAGTTTGAAGATGCGGTAGACGAGGAGGGGGATGCGCGCGGACTCGACTTGGTTCGCCGGGCTCCCACTGGGGTGACATCCCTCGGAAACAACCAGTATCAAAATGGCACTCTAAAGATGGGCGAGACGGAATGGTGGTATTTCCCCGTGAATGGCGACGAGACCAACAGCACCTCTGAGAACAAGAAGAGTCGTGATCTTTCCAGGCGTTCGACCACCGTTTATCTGTCCCTCACGGCATGCTCCAAGCCCAGCCACAACAACACGGATTCCACCAGCACAGCAGCCGTACCGCAGCTGACAGTCTACGCATCTGAATCGATAGAGAAGCCTGGGCCTGACAAGTCCGAGTCCGACCAGACAATAAAATCAGCGGAGGAGGGCTATGTAGGCATGACCCTCACGGCAAATGGCGATGTCTATGTCGGAGTGACGGCTCCCAATAGCACCGAATACTCTGGTTCTTTCACCTACCAGATTGCGGCCTCGACCGATGCTTATTTCCATAGTGTCGACGAGAGTGATCAGTTCATGTTCTTAGTTGATTCGGACACTGGGGCAGCGCTTCTGACAACTAGGAATCTCACCAACTCCGATCTTACGTCGCAGAACTACAGTTCCTGGATGGACATGACACCTCCATACACAATGTTCGCCAACAATATCAACAGTACGTCCATATCGGGCTTGGAACGGTCATTCTGCGCTCTCGATTCGCTGGCGCAGATCGGGAAAAGCGAGGTTGAGACGAGCATAACTACCCGGGGTGCAGTAGACAGGCCAACCGAGCAGCTCTATGTCACCGGTCTTAATAAGTCATCTACCTACTACGGAATCATGGCTCGTGAGGGTAATTCCACCGAATGGGGCAATGGAATCGTAGGAGGTGGAGGAAAAGTATGGCCACGCATGAATTTCACAACCAAAACAGGTGAGGGACAATGACCCCCAAGACCACGGTCTTATCGGACTCTAACGAAGTAATAAACAGATGACAACTGTGCCGTTGTATACGACCTGCCATTCTGCTCCGAAGTCGCCTACGCAGTGCCATCCAACCCCTCCATCAACATGACAGAGCTGCGAAAGATCTACGACGACAATGCAGCATCTTTCTATAAGAACTTCAGCTACTCCCTCCAACAAGTTCAATGCAACACCTCCAGCGAGAGCTTGTTCTCTCTCGCCGTATCCTGCGACACCTGCGCCGACGCATACAAGCAGTGGCTCTGCGCCGTGACAATCCCCCGATGCGCAGACTTCTCCAGCAACGCCACCTTCCTTCAAATCCGTAATGCAGGCCAGCCCTTCCTCAACGGCACCTCAATCACCAACTCCTCCCTCCTGAAAAGTCCCGCTACGAACAACTCCCGCAACCCCTTAATCGACAGCAAGATCCGCCCCGGTCCGTACAAGGAAGTTCTCCCCTGCCAGGGCGTCTGCCACAGCCTTGTCCGAAATTGCCCTTCTATTTTAGGCTTCAGCTGTCCAGAAGGCCCGCGGGCGAATGTCTCGTACGGCATGCGCGACCCTAATGGTGACATCACGTGCAGTTATCTAGGAGCAGCGTATTACCTTAATGCTGTTTCCAGTTTGCATGAGAGCATATGGATCTCCCTGTATATGGTGATAGGTGTTTGGACTTCGTTCTGGATTCTTGGGTAGTTGGAGTTATTGGACGGGGTGAGTTAGGGTGGGTGCAACTATCCTCTAAAATATTCGTCTTTTCTTTATCTTCTCCCCTCCCTCCTTCACTAGTCGAAGTACACCGGGTCTGTATAGAGTGGAATACATAGATCACCTGCGGTATGTTAGAGCGGGCATAGATGGGTTGAGTCATAATGCTGGGCCAGTGAGGCATGGCATGTGCATAGCTAATACGAGGACGCGAAATAGATACCCCCTCTGCGTAAGGATGGCTTGTATGATACAGCCTAAAGCTCTTGTCTGTTATATTCAGTAAGATAACCCTTAAAAGAGAAGTAGTTTAGGGATGTAAGCTGTGAAAAATTCAGTGGCCTATAGTTGGCAGGTGAGCCAGTCTTTTCTACAAACAAAAAGTCTTCACACTTGCCTAAATCTGTTTCAATACTAGACCAACTGGCAGCTAGCTAGTTAGAAACCTCACACTTCCGAATTAGTATATACATTGTTATCTGGCAGTTGCCGAAATGTAGATGGCAACTGTCGTAATGGAAAAGTTGAACCTTTAACAACCTTTATCTCATAGTCGCATAGAATCCCCTATCCATGACGCCTCTATAAACCACTGGTATCTAATAATGACAAGTTAAAACACAAACGCTAACCCAATATGCTTGAAAAGAGGAAAGAGAGAAGTCCGTGTGAGAGCAGACACCACATTATTTGCCCCTTTTCGGGGTCGGTGTCCACATATTTCTCAGAGATGAGCTCGAGGATGATGCCGCTAGACGAGGAGTACTTCCCACCTGATGGAGTAACTTCTGTGCTGCGGGAGTCAACGCTTTGTTCGTCCTCCCTCCTGGCGTAGCTGCACCCGGCGTGCGCAAGCCAAAGTCCAATCGTGGGCTGCTGGCAAACCGTGGCGTTACGGGGGTCTTTGTCTCACGAAGGGATTTCTCTGCTCGCTTAGACCTCGCTACGCGATCTACCATGCGGTGGTGAATATCTTCCCGTCTCCGGTTTTCTTTGATCTCGAAAGGATTCGGCGTGGCATCACTGCCGCCAAGCAGGCGAATATCATCCGGAGATATCGCAGAATTGTCATTGTCTTTTGATGAAGTGAGAGGATATTCAGGCTCATCCTCATCCACAAAGGCGTACCCATTAACTCGTGGCGTCTCACCCCCTGTATATACTGCTTCAGATTCGGTGGGACGAGGGTGTCCGGCAATAGCGTCTTTGATGGCCGAAATCGAAGGTGAGGGCGGGGGTGCATTTGCGTCCGATGGCGTTTGCTGGATGCTCTCATCTGGTAACCGTGTGTTCTGAAACACTACCCGCTTGGGGCCTGCCCGCGACGATGCTTCAGCTTTTTGCTGTATAGTTTCATATGAATCCTCGATGGAGGAAGGCGCAAACATGAGCGAGTTCTCAGGTTGAGTTTTCCAGGTGTCTGGATTCGCGGGCCGGGCGTCCAGGTCAGTCTTTATAGCTATCTGCTTGAGCTGATCTGGATTACCGCCCTGGGCCTCGATCCGTTTAGCTTCTTGTCGCCGGTGCGCGATCTGTCTCGCAGTTGGGATCTTATTCCCACTCCACAACCATTTATATCTCTCGCGGTGCTTTTCATTCTGTTTATCGAGCAGTTTGTTGAATGACTCATTATCTTCGCTCGTATATTTGGCCTGGAACTCTAGCAATCCAAGGCGGGACACATCCGGGGTCGTAACATGGTCAACGTTGGGTGTAGTAGATGAAGATGTTGTTGACATGACTGACATCGGTGTATCTCCTCCCCAGCCCATCGGGGTATCTTCAGGACGTCCCGAATTGGTGGCTCGTGGTGTCATACTGGCTGATCCGGAATGCGATCGAGCTCTCCCTGGAGTCTTCAAGAGATCGGTCAATTTCTTCTTGGAGCTTGCAATCCATTGTTTGTCTCTCGAATCAAGCGCATCCAGGTATTCCTGCTTCACCTGGGCTTCTAGAAGACCGGGAAAATAATCACGTGCGATGATCTCCGACAGAGCATTGGTGTACACGTCTTCGTCCAACACAGTGGCCGGCCGCTTGATACGCTTGGGTGGCGGCGGCGGGGGCATAAGGCTGGTGTCGCTTTGACGCTTGGTCAGAGCCTGAGAGTCGGCGGACATGGCTGGTAATCGTGAGTAAAACAAGGACCCGAGCAGAAATCTAGTGAAGAAGAGAACTCCTAAATGATGAAGAAGGAAAGGAGAAGAAAGAAGACGACATGCTCGTCAGCGTTGATGACGGACATAGAAAGAGCGATCTCCGACATCAGCAGAGGAAGGAGCGCTTTACTGGCAGAACACCCTGACCGCCCTGGTTGGCGGTGAGGGATTGGCGTCACATGGCAATCAGGTGGCCCCGGTCTGGCTCAATGCACGTGGGCTTATTTAATTCAACACCTGCTACTGCAATTCCAAGTACTTGAAGACTGAACCGCGGAATAGCGCCATTCATGCTATAGGGACAGTAATATCAGATGTTATAATCATCACTTTTTCCTCTTCACGGTTTTCCCGCGTGTAAACCTCGTATCAGACAACTCTTCCCAGACAGACCCAGTTATCCCTTCCTGCTCTATCTATATACTGACACAGACCTAAATCGGCAATGGATGTTGAACAACACAAGAGCCACTGCAGCTGCAGCAGCTACCCAAACAAAAACCAGACCAACAAAATGAAAATATAAATCCGAACGAGTGCTTCTCCGACTGAAACCCCGTTCACTGTCCTTTCCAAATCCTCCATTGCCAGAAAAACACCCAAGATTTTTTCTTCCCGAGGAAAACAGTCGCTGAGAAATGCACCAGGAAATGCAAGTGAAGAAAATCTGAGAAAACAACAAAGAAAACATAAGCGCATAGCCCCCAAGAGTGGGACCAAATGACTGTTCGATGAATAACATTCGTCGCAGGGAAATCGAAACGCAAGCCACCAAAATGAGAAAATAAATATGAATCATCAAGTCGTTGAAGAAGTTCTATAAGTGAAAGGATGAGGAACGGAATGTCGCAGAATGCTGAGAACAAGGAGTCTGGGATGGATGCAAGTTGTCGTCGGGTTGATTGCAGCTCAATTGGCTGCAGGAGTAGGGAAGAGGGAATAGGATGCTCGGCCCTTACGCCGAGGGGCGGCCCTAGAGGCAGCATCATTCTTGATGGCCCTAGCGATCAATGGGCCTGCCTCCACTTCAGTGGTGGACTTGGCTCTATCGTGGATGGAAGGACCCACGGTGGACGCATAGCCTGATGGTTCGGGGCTTGCGTCGCCATCGGCTCGGAAAAGCTGGGATTCAACTTCGCGGGCCAGGCTCTTGGTCTGCCGATGATGGGAAGACTCGGGGCGCCCCATTCCGGAAAGTTCACCTGAGAGCCTCTGCTCAGATGGGTGGAACTCACGGCTGCTTGCCAGACTGTGCACCAGATCAGGAACGCTGGCGGTCGAGACGGAGGAACGATGTTTGCGGACCACCGACGCGGCGCGAGACAAGATCAAACTTTCCTGGGAGTTACACTTGCTAATGGGGGAAAAGCTGCTCCGGGGAGACACGGATTGGTCCATAGGCTGGATCACACCCGGCTGCGAGTAGAAGGCGAAGTGTCGGTCTGACTCCGTGTCCGCCGTCAAATACTCATCATACAGCGAGTCGGGGTTGATCTGTTTCCCCAAGCTGGGGGCAAACCTGACAGGCTGAAAATAATCACTGTCGCGCTGCGTCACAGCAATGCCAGTGTTATCATCTAGGGTGGTGGAGGTGACCACTACATGTGCGCTGGGTACATGATCCAAGTCCGCAGCGGGCAAAACCGACCCGCTCAGCCCCATTGGCTCAAACAACGCCTTATTCTCATCCGTGCCAGTGACTCCATGTTCCGCATCGTCTTGCCGAGGCTCGTCAAGTGAACTGCGAGTCCAGTCAAAGTTGCAATTCGACTCGGCAGCATGTTCATAGCAGTAGTCAATGTCTGCGTCCCAAGACTCATATATGGTTTCTTGGATGGCTCTCAGGTTGACTGAGGATCGCCTTCGAACTGGCTCTCGAGCCATGGACTCTTGCAGTGGTGCGGCCGTAGCAATACGATCCTGTGGAAGGGTGGGGGAACCCAGTGCCTCGGCAAACTTTCTTGACAAGTCTTCGGCGACATAAATGGACAAGTCGGACCTAGGGCCAGCCATGGAGGTGGTGGAAGGAGATTGCGCCTCGGAGAAAGGTGGAGATCTTGACATAACAGGCGCGCGAGGGGAGACCTCGTCAGTTTGGAGTCCGGGTCCTTCGTGCCAAGGGGACGGCTCCTCCTCTTCAGGCACGTCTTCCCAGTCTGACGACAGAGTCGGTAAGGACATTGACGAGGTGCGGGCATTCATCACTTCGTTGTTGATGTTGGTCGCAAACGCATGACCCGAAGGAGGCTGGAACATGTCTTCCAGAGGGATTTGCGGCCAAGCAGCACCCTGCTCTACATCCTCGGTATGCGAGTATACATGCTCGGGATATGTTGGTTGGGTCGACAGGCCCAGGATTTCGTCAATGGCGCGAGGAGCTGGCTCAGGTAATTCAGGGGAGGATGCCAGTCTCGGGGACGAGGCTCTCGGCGGCGGAGTAGTTGACCCAACTTTAGGAAACCTTGGGACAGGCCGCGAGAAGTTCTCAACGACGCGCGATTCTCTTCGTACTCTGACGTCGCGCTGCTTGGGACTCACAGACGAGGAGCCGCCTGGAGATGCTGGTGGACTTGTTGGCGGAGGGGGCACAACGTCGTCACAGCCAATAGCCGTCCCGCACTGGGTAAGGTCCTCCGTGGAGAAGTCACGGAAGTGCAGATCTTCAGCACGGATTCCTTTCAGGTTGGTGACAGGCCTCTGAGAGGCACGGATGGCCGAGAACTCAGTGACTAAGTCAGTCTCTCGAGCTTTCTCCAGCGACTGGAACTGGGACGGGCTCGTATGAGTCAGATGATGGAAGTCAAAAGGATCCGAGATGAGATTCTTTAGCTGGTCATCTGTGGCAAGTCCATTGTATGAGCATTGGTTACAGGGCCGATAGTCACAGCGCAATCCGCATATGACAGGGAAGACTTACGCGCATCACTATGGCGTGACTTGTTCCGGCTGAAGATCTCTGAGACTTCGAAGCGAGGCTTTTCACGCTCCATTTCATCCTCCTCGTCCAGCGTGGAGACAATGTGGAACTTACTTCCCTGACGACGGAGGATACGGCTTCCCCGCGAAAGGAGCGACTTGGTCACACTCTCGGGCCGTTCATGGCGGACGCCAGCCGCCGAGGTTGTCCGGTCATCCTGGGAAGGCAGCGATGCTGCATCCACGGAGGTCATGGAAGACGCGGGGGAACGGCGGGAAGAGGTGGTGGAGTTGGTGGTGTTACTGCGAGAGCGGCCACTGAACACGGACAGCCGCTTAGGACTATGCGCATGTGCAGTTGACCTGGAGCGGGTGTGGACCGAATATGGTTCGGGGGACTCGTTATGGGGCGCTCTGGCAGAGGGACGATCCAGATCCTGCTGGGACATGGTGTGGGTGGACGCTGGCAGGTGGGAAGCCTGCATCAAGGGGACAGAGGGAAGGATTGTTGACTATATATCAAATAGTCCAGTGGGCGATGATCGAGTCGGGGGTTAGGAGGGGAGGAGAGGGGGGGCCAAATGAGCAAGGCGAAGCAAGTGAGCGACCGTTAAGCCTCCGATTGTGATGGGATGGTCCTAGCTTTGACCATGGTAGGAAGAAGATATCGCACACCAGAGACCTGGGGAGACAAGGCAGTCGAGAGCACCGACGAGCTGAAGATTGGTCACTTTTCAAGGTCGAGCTTGAAAGCGCATGCCCCGTGTCGAGCGCCACGGAAAGTTTCTTGAGTGTTTTAGATTGTGAGTTGAAACGGCTGCGGGAAACGTATCCAAAAATTTAGGTCACGGGTGACAAGAAGGGAATGAATTGGGGGAAGGGGGAAACAAAAGGAAAAGCAAATGATAGATCAATTGCAAGAGGGGAAAGCAAAGAGAGAGAAAGAAGATAGTGGAGAGAGTAGTGAGCAAGTAAGAGAAAGAGAGGGAGAGAGAGCGTGTGAAGAAGATATGGAGACAACAGATGTGGGCAAAGGATGGAGTAAATGAGCCGTAAAGTAAGTTCCAGCCGTCGCTGTCGCAATAACAGTTTAGGGAGCAAGTGGTTTTACTGGACGGACCCGAACTAGTGGCCGCAGTACCAACGAAAAGGAATGATGGGTCGGGACTAGTCCGTAGATAGTGAGTAGTTGAATAGTAGTAGGAGGAGAAGTAGGTATGGATTAAATTCTGGGGAAAAACGAGGGTAAAACACTGGATGAATCGGGAAAAAGCCAACGATCACAACCAGCACTATAAAAAGAGCAGCAACAAACTACTACAAACTCCACACTAAGAGGAAGGGAGAGAAATTGAGACGGGGCAGACTCGAACAGAGAGAAAAGAGAAAGAGAGCGAAGGAGAGGGATGAGGGAAGGGTACTATACTAGTAGTAGAAATTGAAGATGGAGGGAAAGGAGCGAGACGAGACGATCATCAAATACTGGCGATGCCAATCCCAGCCCAGTTCCAGACTTTATTTTACGGTACACCAACAACACGGGACGGCAGGGGTATTGAGCGTATTTTCCTCCCCCTCTCCCAACTGCATCGGATGCCGTAAGGTAAACCGCTTCAGCCAGCAAGTCAGTCACAAAACTCAAAATGGTAAAACCTACGTTGTTTTTTTTTATACCATTTTTTTTTATTTTCCTTTCCTTTCTTTTCTTTTTTCTTAACTTTTTGACTTTCTTGTCCCGCCCACGTTCGCCGTTGAAAAACTTTCTCTGCTTTTCTTTTTCTTCCTTCGGGAAGTAAATGGGCGATTTTTCCATTGGCCCTGCCTGAGGGCATTTGTTTTAGTAGCTAGCTGTAGGATTAGTATTTATTGACAGAATCATTACCGGTGTCAGGAATTCTTCCGTTCAGCAGTTAAGGTAACAGCTAGACACTACTACATTACTACTACTTCAACTATGCTTGGACCTCGCTCCTCGGCCCCAAAAAGAGACCTTACGGAGTAAACAAATAGTAGTTAACAAAGTCTCAGGATTTATCATCCTGAATCCTGAGCTCCGCCTTACGGCTCTCTTCCCCGATGGTATTTCTACATAGCAGTCGGCCTTATGGAACCAGAACCAAGCTTGTGCTGTGTATGCTGTGTATGTGTAAGTAAGTAGTGTTGACATTGACACCTTTCCCATCTGTCGTGTCCCGCAGCTGCAGTAACAACATCATCGTCATCGTCATCCCCCCAAAGTGGATATAGCATACTTTAAAAAAAGCAACATGGGTTTGAGATCATGATCGAAGGGAAGATGGAAAAGAGATCCCTTCTCCTTGCCCCCCCAAAGAGGCAACCGAGGGAGGGGAAATTGAGCTAACCTCCTAATCCACGGGATCGTTCGATCCCGAGGCAGTTGAACCAAAGATAGACACTATCATCCTTCGTGGGGAAAACCGATACGTTGCAATCAAGAGGGAATACGCAACAAAAAGCAAAGGAGTTAGTTCAACCCCCTCCCCCTTTCGCACAGACATTCAATGGCTTGACTGCCTAACTCATGAGCCCCCAATTGACCGAACTTTCCTCCCCTATTAACCGTCTAGTTAGTCAATTGCCCCTTAAACTACTACCACCTACGCAGTCCCAAGATACCTAAGTAAGTAACAGGTATCACCCAAAATGGGACAGGGGAAGACCGACTCGGATACAGAGGCAAAGACAGAGAGAAACAGAGTGAAGATGAGTGGGACTTCAATCCTCGATTGCTTTCCCTTTTCGGTCTTTAATTTTAATTACTATTATCTGTCGGGGTCCATGGATTGCGCCGTGCGCTGATCGATCGGGCTTTTGCCTAGACATGGACTCGAGATGGAAAGAGAGACACAGAGAGAGATCCCTCAAGGCACTAAAACTCCTCCGGTGCAATAAAACAACGCACATGGGCTTCCAGTCATGGTTCTAGGGGCTTCTGTCGAAACAACAGGGGAATAATGGGTAACATAAGAAAAAAAAGCAAACATGCTGATTAGCGGTCGGAAATCGTCTCCTCGACGCACACACAAAGCTGTTGTTGTCGTTGCTTATGGAATGATGAGCTGAGACGATAATTTAATGAATGATATGCGTTCTGCCTTCCCTAAGACAATTAACTAAACGATGCCGCAATGACCTACAGAGTCCACTTTGCTACAGATTACTATCGATTATCTATTTCCCCAAGGGCCCAGAATCCATAACATGATAATTAATCTATCTGACCGTCGAGCACCGAGCTCTCAGCTCGGGACACTCGGTCAGACGCGATGATCTCACGGGGACTTCCGTTGGGCAAGTATTGGCGGTGGGTTCGATGGAACCACGAAGGACTGATAGTGAATCAATTGATAGGCGATGGATGCGATGTGCAACGGGATCATGTCTAATCGAAGCCATACATGGACTTCGGTCATTATCTGGGAAAATTTCTCTTGGATCTTTTCCACCCCCCCCCGCTGGAGTAAGACAATTTCCATTTGCACCGTTACTCTTCGGCGGGCTACTCTTGCGAGAGAAGTCAGAATATTCGCGCGTTTGTTCGGGGTAAACTCCATACAGTCAGCAGGCGAGCACGCTGATTGACGGGTTCATTGTGGACATGCATACGTACCTACATGCATGCATGCAGCTACTGGGTAGGTACAGACAACCTACGGAGCACAGTGCCTAGGACTACCTAGTGCATAAGCAGTCCTGAGACTCCATGAACACAAACAGCATGACATCCGAACAGCCTCGAATTTGACCGAGGGAGGTTGTCCCTCCCTTCCTTCCTTTCCCTTGTCCCGACAATACGAGAGAGACGTCAAACTCAGGCACCACCGGATCTTCATTCGCTTAGAGGGAAGACGTCGGGGCCCAGTTTCAACGTTTCTCCCCACCGGGCAACAATAGTCGTGCTAGGCTGCTAGCCCTAGGTTACAGTGTCTTGACTGGACGCCCGACGGAAGCTTTCTCGGCCTGGCTGAACCTTGTGAACGCCAGAGCGGATCCTGTGTGTCGGGATAAGCTGGTTGACTTGCCAGATTGGTTCGGGGACCCAGAGGGAAGCCACGGGCTGGAAGGGGACGCTTGAACCATGGTTCTGGTAATGGCAATTGGGTGAAAGGTTGCATCCGCGCCAGGCACAAACAAACAATTCCCAACATGACAGGTATAACTCTAATTCAAAATAATTTCATAACTGCTAGCTCAAGGGTGGGAATACACATATACATACAGCCACCACATCCCACTCCTAAGTATCTATCTACTAACTGCGCTCATTTCCTGCAACTACTGGATCTACCTGCTGGAATTGGAGGACTGCTCCGACCGGAGGAGACGGTGGAAGACGCGAACGGCGCACAAAATCCGCCCAAGCGGTGGTGGATTATATCCACTTAACGTGGTGAAATCGACTCATCATATTAAATCGACACGCGACCATCCTGGTCGGTCCCCATCTTAATAGACAGATTCATGCAGTGACCAGGATGCCCGGACTTGCTAGACCCAGTGAGGATATGGACAATTAACAGTAGTGCTACTCTCTGTTCCACCGCGTGCGGTTCAGTCTTAGGTACCGAGGGACACCAACAGAAAAATTACCACGCGAGCCACCTGCGAAAGTAAATAGTAGGACGCGTTGCTTCTCAGCAAGTGTCATGATTGTTCAGTCGGTCTCAGTCTCCAATGGGTCTTGCCTCGGGCCCGAGATGACACAATTCCACACATGTGCTTCGGCCGTCTCCAACCGACAAACGTTGGATGGATACTTTTACAGCGTCCGTTAAAGTCAATTGGAAACGTCATATTAGCTGTCAATTGCTACTTCCCCATGGTCGGTTATCCTTAGTACGGAGACTATGGACTCTACGGGGTGGACCTAGGAACCTGGAGCTGAAAAGGAACCATTGCAGGATGAGAAGGAGGGGAAAAAGAGGGAGGAGAGGGGAATGAAAGGATTGATGGATTACTCGATTGAGTCATCCCAGATCTCACTTCTCAGATTGAGTGCGAACACACCGCCAATATGTTTTCATCTTGACTAACCCAGAACTTGCTTATGCGCCTCGTACATGTACCTGCATCTCTCGTGCAGCCCGTCACGTTCCCTAACCCCCCTCACGTTTCTTTCTTGTTTTATCTTCTTTTTTTTCTTTTCTTTTTCTTTCTTACATGGACCGGCGGTCTGGATGTGCATCCTGCTCGTGGGAGGATCTTCCCAGCCAGCATGGAGACGTGTCCAATATGGAGTAAGTCACTCCATTGACTGGGGCAGCTGTGGACAGGAACACTGCATGAGAATCGGTAGGAATCCGCCTGCTTCCAGCCGTCAATGACTACTAATAATAATGAATAATTCCGACGTAAGTAGCAGTTCTTCCGGTGCAGCTGAGGCTCGTCAGCTGATCCACCGAGGGTCTTTTTTGCCCTCCTTACGTATATTTTACTTACATACCTCCCAAACCGGTATTGAAGATACCGAAACCGGACCGGATACCCACCATCCGCACCACTCTTACCATACCATACAACTTGGTACTATACTTATCCTCCTCCATCATTGTGCAGATACCCACAGTAAGGCCATAATGGAGAGAGCCCCATTGAGAAATAATATATTGCAGATAAGAGAAGCCACACACACAGAGAGAGAGACAAGAGAGTGAGAGAGGGATGGAGAAAGAAAGAAGGAGAAAGAGACTGACCGAAGAAAAACCCCTCAGACACACACATACACACACGCACACCAACCACTAACAAAGAAATCCCCAAATCAAGACCACCACCAACAATTTCCCTCAATGCCACACACACACGCACACATATACACAACATCCCCAAAACTAGCCCCCATCCACATCTCAAACCTCAAACACAACAACTTCACACATCTCGCTTCAGCCCCAAAAGGCAGGCAGTAACACCACCAACCTCCTACTTTGTAACTACTACCACACCACTGTCTCAGATCCAACCTTATTAACCACTGCTACACCCACCCCTTTCTTGTCCAAGTTACACTTATCCTCCCCTAGCGTGTAGCACCATCCAACCCAACCCACCCCCCTCCTCCTCCCCTTCCCTGCCCCCAACTTCTTTCTCCATCGTTCGAAGGACTCCTGACGATCCCTGGTGTCTAGACTCGAGACTAAGGACGATAGGTTGTAGCCCAGCCCTTTCTTTCGCTGTTATTAGTACTGTGGGTGGTGGGGGTTGTGGTGCTTTAGTTCGGTTTAGTCTACTTAGTCTAGTTTTAGTTGTACCGAGTCAGTAAACTAACCATTTATGACTGAATGGGATGATGGATGGATCGGGGGTTGGTTTCCTTGATTGATTGATTGATTTGCTGATGCGTATCGTTTTCGGTATGTATGTTTTGGTATTTATTCTCTATCTACTACCTCGACTTCTATACTTATACTCTCTATACTTGGGTTGATATAGACTACCTTCCTTGCTTACTTACTAGGTAGTATGTTGGAATAAGAAGATTACTACTAGTAGTAAGGTAAACCACTTGCTGAACTTACTCCAGGAACATTATAATTGGATTCAATTGAATTGAACTACACCTAGCATAGTATATACCTGCTATACTACTGGCTGGGGTTCAACATCACTCTTACTATATACAGCCAGACAGTACATCCATAACAGCATCAATTGTTCTTAGTAGTTCATGCTCCATAGTATAGACATTCCTGCCCCGCCCCCCCCCATAGTAAATACCGATAAGTAAGTAAGTAGTAGTAGTAATAATATCTGAAGTATCGAACATCCAATCCCAACGCCATCTTTTCAAATACATGAATGGAAAGTTGGAATGAAAGAGAAAAACAATATAGAGAAAGATAACAAGCAAGGCACACCATTCGTAAAACTACAAGTTCCTTCTGCACTCCTCTCCTCTCCCCCCCCCCCCCCCCCCCCAACTCAACAAGCTCCTAAAGAGGTAGTAGTAGATAAGTAAGGTCTAGATCACTCACTTACTCAATTCACTCATCCTCCTTCAAATCCATATCATCATCGCCACCATCGTCATTGAATAATCCATCATCGTCGTCTTCGCCCCCATCGCCCCCAGTTGTGGCCCCTTCGCCCCCTCCTCCAGCCACCACCGCCCCATCATCCTCATTCTCTTCATCCTCATCATCATCAGCCACTCGTTGATTGACCTTGGCCCGACGACGCTGCACCACATCCTGCTCTTCTTCATCCTCGTCATCATTCGCCCCAGTATCACGCATTGCATGATCTTCATCATCATCAGCATCAGCACCACCCGCCCCTCCCTCCTCGTCGTCATCCGAATCCACCACCATCTCACTACTCTTGTACTTGCTCTGCTGCGCCTTACTACCAGACCGACGTTCCAGACGCCGGCGCTTCTTCGGCGCCGCCGCCGCTTCGCCATCGGAGTCCGGTTCCGAGCTCCTCTCTCTGGAAGGAGAATCGCCCCCATCATTGATGAAATCGTCCTCATTGCGCTTCTTCTTGCGCTTGGTAGACGTCGTCCTCTTCTTGCGCTTGACCTTAGCACCCGTCTCCGACTCAGTGGTAAGTTCCGCTTCCTCACGCGCACGTTCTTCTTCCGCGCGCTGCTCCGCCAGCCGCTGCGCTTCCTCGATCATGCGCTGCCGTTCCTCCGCGACGCGCTGTTTGCGCTCGCGCTCTGCTTCCTGCGCCTTGCGCACTTCTTCTTCGCGCTGGCGCTTTTCGGCTTCGCGCGCCTCGCGCGCTTGTTGGAGCTTGGCCGCGTTCTTCTCTTCGTATTCCTTTTGGCTTTGGAGCGCGCGCTCGAGTTGCTTGAGAATAGTGCGGCCCATGTTGGCGCGCTGTTCTAAGGCGCTAGACGGGTACGGTGGGTTCTTAGCCTGTGCCACGCGGTTGAAGGTCTCCACGGCTTGTTGGAGGCCTTCGGCGGCGTCCTGGACGTCTTGGACGGTCTTTTGCGTTTCCGGGAGGCCGTAGGTGAGGGAGGCGATTTGGTTCTGGACGAAGGCGACGTTGAATTCGAGGTGGACTTGGCCCGGAGCGACGGAGTGGGCGCGCTGCGCGTAGTCGAGGGCGGTTTTCATGGCTTGTAGGTTCATCTCTTGCTTGCCCTTGGCAAGCCAGACGCGGCCGAGGCAGGCGAGGATTTGTGCGTCGCGGGCGCGGTCTTTGGATAGGGCTGCTTCGTAGTGTTCGATCGAGCGGGTGTATTGACGGAGCTCGGCGTAGACGTGACCGAGGTTGAGGTAGACGCTGGCGTCGCGCAATGTGTCCCGGATCTTGGAGAAGATGTGGACAGCGGAAGCATGATCCTTTTTGTCGTCAACGAGTGCGATGGCGATACCCTGGGCGGCGTATGCATTGCGAGGGTCCAGTTGGAGGGCCTTGTCGAAGAATTCAACGGCCCGCTCGTACATCTTACGCCGCTTCTCTTTGTCCTGGTCGCTGTCGCGGCGCATGTCGCGCGCTGTGGACAGGTGGATGTTGCCCATGCCCGTCAAGGAGTACCGGTCGTGCTTGTCGTAGTATTGCAGGGTGTGTTTGTAGTGGCGCTGTTCGTGGTCTTCGGCCAGGTTGGCTGCCCGCTTCTTCGACTTGCTAAGGTACCAGCCGAACAGGGCGCGCACTTCCAGGTTGGTCGAGTCGGCCTCGTAGAGCTTGGCCATCTTCTTCGGTCCCTCGTCCGTGGGGCTCTGGCGCAGAGCGATGTACGTCAAGCGTGCATTGGCTTCGGTGTAGTCGGCGTGCCGCTCCAGGAGACCCTGGTAGACCTTCTTGGCTTCTTCCGGCATGTCGGCTGCCTCGTAGGTTCGGCCTAGGTTGAAGCTGATGGTGGTGACGAGCGCATCGGTGTCGAGTTCGCTTTCCTTCTCCTTGGATCGGACGCAGGCATCCAGCGCTGCTTGGAACATGGTCCGGGCTCGTTCGATCTTCTCGGCTTGATAAAGGAAGCATCCCATGTTGTTGAGGAGTTGCGGGGGAAGGTGGACGCGAAGAGCTGCCTTAACCTGCTCTTCATCTTCGACGCCTTCGGGGCGCTCTTCCTCTGCGACCTCTGCCAGCTGCATCTCTTCTAGCTGGGTGAGGCACTGCATGCTCTTCTCAGGAGCGCTCTGCTCGTACAGCCGGGCCAGGTACACCAAGACGGACTCATCGGGCGAGATCTTCTTAGTCTCGTCCTTCCAGAGGGCGCGGACCGATTCCAGAAGGTTGATGGCCTTCTTGATCTCAGCCGACTTGTCTTCCTTGCTGCCGCTTCTCTGCGCCGCGAAGACCTCCTCCGCATGAAGCGCGCCGAGCAGGACCATGCATTCGGCATTCTTCGTCTGCTGAATGATCTTTTCGAGGCGGAACTTGGCTCCATCGAAGTCCTTGTTGGACACTTGTATTTGTACCGTGCCGAACTTGGCCGGGAGGTATCCCTTCTCACCACCTCCACGAGCCTGGTCGGAGCGGTTGTAATACTCCGCAGCACGCGTCAGGTCGCCTTCATAATGGGACTTCCGACCGAGGAGATACCAGCCGTCGCTGGCAATCTGCATGACATCGGTGTGTTCGATGGCCTTCCGGGCCAGGGTCTCAACGGTTGAGTATGCCTTCCGGAGGAGGAAGTACCCGCCAAACAAAGAGCAAGTCATCGGATATTCCTTGTCGATTTTGAAAGCCTTCTGTGTGTACTGTGTCATTGCCACCTTGTACAATGAACCGAAAGCCGGGTCTGTCGTAGCATGTCGTGAACTGTCGTAAAGATAGTACACTGCGAGGAGAATATTCGCAACCTTGGAGTCGGGGTTCTGTCTCGCAACGAAAGATCAAGAGATTAGTAAAGAAGGAACTGATACGTATGACATATGCGTGGAACTCACCAACGCCAAAGCTCGCTCCCAAGCGACCTTAGCCTGCTCTTTAAAGCCCAGCTGCCACAAGCAACTACCGATACCGATCCGCGGGTCGGGATCTGTCAAACTGGGCATCTTCATCAGAACCTTCTGGTAGCCCTCAAGAGCCTCGGCGTATCGCCCAAGCAAGTATTGCGTTCTCGCGCGTCCAAGGATAGCCATTACATTCCGACCGCCAAAAGCCTTGGAGGACTCATCGAAGCACTTGAGCGCCTGCCGCAGCGACTCTACCCTCTCGGATGTATCAACGGTGCCCGGACGAACTGGACGGGGTGGATGTAGCGAGGCGCGCAGCAGCGACAAGACACCTCGCGCCAGGAATAGAGGGGGGAACGCCGGATTCAGTCGCGAAGCCTCGTTCAACGTCGACGTCGCAAGTTGGAGATAATGATCCTTCGTCTTCGCCTCGGTGTACAATTCTCCTTCGGGGGCAACGCGGGGGGCATTCCGACTCTTCAACATCAACAGCCAGCAAACCCATCCCAGCAGACCGAGTTTCTCTTTGGTAGCTCCATGGGCGACCGACGCGAGACCTTTGTTAAGGATGTCGATGGCATGATCGAGTTGTTTTTGCTTGGCGTACGCCAGCGCGATTGTGACCCAGAAGTTCTTAGCGGCCTTTTCATTCTCCAGCAGTGTGCAGAGTTCGGTTGGGTCATCCGGAAGAATCTCTAGGCTGACCTCGACTTCACTGTCAAGGGTGGACGCGGGAATGTCGATGGCGGAGGGAATGTCAGAAAAACGGAGATTGGGCAACGGGTTGGCCGCTGGAAGAGAATCGCCGTTCGTGCCATTGGCGTGGCCATTTTGAAGGGACGCCATGGCGTGTGCGGGTACTGCTTTGAGCAATGTGTTGTGTTGTAGATGGGCAATGGGGGAAGGATTGCGACTGTTTCGGAGAGGTGAAAGGAGCTTGGCTCGTAGTTCAGCTCAACTCATGATCGGGATGAAACTAAACTGAAGCGGAGGATGAGAAGACGCGGGTGGAAGAAGTGCCTTCTTGCCGGAAGACTAGCAAGAAGAGCGCTTCGGAATTTGTAGCAGTCAGAAAGACAAAGGCGGTGGTTGCAGCAGACTGAGGTCGATGCTTTCTGAAGCGCTCCGGAGGTTTGGCATGAGAGAGTGAGAGAGACAGAGAGAGGCTGGCCGGGCCGAGTTTACACCGCCACCGCCCGCTTGCCAACTGTGGCTTGTTATTCACTCTCTCTTACTCACTCTCCGCATCTCTGTGTTTACATGATAGTCATCTAATATTGTATTCGGACCAATAGATTATGATGTTTTCTTGAGTTTTTGGTAATAGATGGCATGCAGGGGCTATCCTGCGTTGTATTAAAATCTTGTCAATAAATCGTGTTTCATCTAATACACCTGCTCGGTGTTAAATAATATGCATCACACCAGAAAGCTATAATAATATCGTCGGAGAAGAAATCAAAGACTGCCCGAAACCACGCCCAAATAAACACAGTGGAGGGGAGAGGCATCTATTCGAGCGAGACCCATCACGCCAGTAACCAAAAACAATCATAACAATACTCTAAGCGCATATGCTCATGTCATGCAACGGGTTGGTTAGAGTGTCGGTCATAGCACACATATCGGCAACGTCGACTCAAGGCCGAAGAGGTCATTTCCACATCAGAATCCCAGTAGCTTGGGCAGTTTACAGAGGAACACCGTGCCTAGAAGCACCATGAAGATCCGGCCAACCTCGGCCCAGTGTCCCAACCGCACATGTGCTTCAGCATACCCTGCAGCCGCGGCAGTCTTCCGGTCCTCGAATCCATGCCCAACTTCGATAGACCCGGCCAGCTCGGACGGAAACCTCCCCGTCTCGTAGTATTCCTCAAGTAACTGATCCTTCTCGGTCCAGCGCTCGCGGAGCCACGAGTCGAACTCTTGCTGATCGTCCAGAGGGATCTCGGAGACAGCAAACCGTCTCCAATGCATATTGACCGAGGTGGGCGGTCGCCCTTGCAGGTACGTCGACCGAAGAGTAAAGTACTTGTCAGGTAGACTACCCTTTCTGTTGAG